CCTTCCGCAGCCGCTCGCTTCCGAACTCAATTTTTACTGGTACCCGCTCTACAACGGCTCCGCTCCGGTGCGGAGACCTGAGGGGGGCAAACAAGCATGCGCGGGATTTTCGAGAACTTGCGATACAGTCCGAGCAATAAACGCGGAAGTTAGATCCAAACACCCGTTGTGTGGGAGAAGCATCGGCATGAACTGTTTAATCTGCCTGTCATGTGTGTTGAGAGATCAGCAGTGTTTGGATCAACAAAGTGTGTCTACTTTGATAGTGGAAACTGTATTTATGGCTTAATTTTGTGCATTTAAACTTCAGCCGTGATTGATAGTGGTTAAAAGTTGTTAAATCTGTGCATATGAAACAAAAAACGCCTTTTGTTTATCGATTTATTGTGAAATAAGGAAATTGTGCTTGCTCCTTTTCCTGTTGGGCCATTGTGATTTCTGTCCATTGACTGCGGAGGTGCTCCGGCATCCGGCGAAATAGGATCGATTCTATTTTTGCCGGACGCCGGAACAGAGGGTGGCGCACGGCGCCGCACTGCCGGAGCACGGCCGGAGCACGGCCGGAGCACGGCCGCAGTAGTGGAATAGCTCTGATTGACTAGAACGGGACCGATTTTGCTTCGGCGTTCGTGTCGGAGCGGAGCGCAGCGGAGCGGAGGTAGTGGAATTTGGGGGTTAGATGACAAAATTTCAGATTCACTAGAGATTACACACGGTGTCCCACAGGGGTCAGTGTTGGGCCCTAAGCTTTTTACTCTATATATAAATGACATTTGTGATGTGTCCAAAGTATTACAGTTCATATTGTTTGCTGATGACACGAATATATTTTGTTCTGGAAATGATTTAGAAATTATTATTCAAAATATGGTTTGTGAAATGTCTAAACTTAAGAAGTGGTTTAATGACAATAAATTATTTCTCAATTGGAATAAAACAAAATTCATGGTTTTTGGTAACAGAAAAACTAATGATTTAGTTACGTTGTCTATTGATGGTTTTTTAATTGATAGAGTAAATGAAGTCAGATTCTTAGGGGTTCTCTTGGACCATAAACTTACTTGGAAATCCCATATAAAATATATAAAACAAAAAATATCCAAAAGTATTGGAATTTTAAACAAAGTCAAAGGTTTTCTAGAAATTTCAACGCTTCAGACATTATATTACTCATTTATCTTACCATACTAAACTTATTGTATTGAGGTTTGGGGCAATACATATAAAACAAACACTAATCCTTTGTTTCTGTTACAGAAGAAAGTTTTGCGAATTCTATATAAAGCAAATCCAAGAGAACATACTAACAAATATTTTGTTCTATCTAAAATTATGAAATTCAAAGACTTAGTTAACTTGAAAATTTTACTAATTATTTTTAAGGCTAGAAATAATTTGCTGCCAACTAATCTACAAAGGTTCTTTGTTTTAATCCAAAAAAATGATAAGAGTAGAAGGAAACCAGGGTTTAAAAGGATATTTGTTCGTACTACATTAAAGCAAATGTGTATTTCAATATATGGTGTGAAATTATGGAATAACCTGGATGATGAATTAAAAAAAATGTACAACTACTGATCAATTCAAAAAAATGTATAAAGATAAAATGCTAAAATCGTATGATTTGGTGAGTTGAGGATGGAGGATTAATGTTTTAGTAGTGATATTATTTGTGGAAGTAAGAGAGCGGTTTATTTTTTGTGTATAAGGCTATTTTGTACTTTTTGTTATTTATCTTGTCTTAGTTAAAGGGGGTAGGTCATATAAGATTTTTTCTTCTTCCTCCCCCTATTTCACTCGAATGCTTATATTCTGATTTGAAGTTTGTATATTTAAACTTTGAGTGAAATAAATTATTGAATTGAATTGAAGAGTGACTGGCGTTCACGCCCAAAGTCTCCTAACGATCTTCGTCCTGTAGCTCTAACCTCCTTGGTGATGAAGGCCATGGAGAAGATCATAAAAGAGCACATTGTAAGAGCAACTGAGCCCCTGATGGATCCACTCCAGTTTGCTTATCGTGCACGCAGAGGCGCCGATGATGCAAAAATCTTCATCCTGGACTCCATCCACAAACATCTGGAGCTCCCTGACTCCTCCGCCAGGCTTCTGTTTGTTGACTTTTCATCAGCATTCAACACTCTGCAGCCTCACATCCTGGCTACTAAACTTTCCTCCCAATTTCATTTAGATGACCAGTTAACCCTGTGGATACTGGACTTTTTAACCAACAGGACTCAGAAAGTTTGGGTCAACAACTGTCTCTCCGGTCTCCGTTCCACCTCCACCGGCTCCCCCCAGGGCTGTGTGCTCTCCCCCCGCTCTACATCCTCTACACAGATGACTGCAGATCCACACATCCCAACTGTCACCTGGTGAAATACGCTGATGATACAGTCCTCCTATCACTGTTGTCAGGCTCCTCACAACACCACAGACCTGCTCTTCAGGAGTTTGTAGAGTGGTGTGACCAGAGCTGGATTAAATAAATGGACTACACTAGGCAGGCTGCATTTTTAGCCCCCCCCCCCCCCCCCCCCCCCCCCCCCCCTCTCCATCGATGTTATTTAATGAATTGAAATCTGAAACTTACTAAAGTTACTAATAAAAGTTCATTCACATTTTACATAGCCTAGTCTTTGGTTACAAATTGGTTGTTTGTATGCCAAAATAAGTCATGTGTTGCATGTTAAACATTCTATCAGACAATTTTTTGATATTAACAATTTATACGTCATTACACAGCTGTATTAAATGCTAATAAGTTATCCTCATCTTATCGATTGGAAGTGCCATTGTCAAGGCGGTACCAGTAAATAACCACTAGGTGTCATTAAACTATGTAAACAGAGCAAATATGTGTCTCTTATTTGCTCTGTTTACATTTAATCAACACATTTAATTAAAAAGATTTTCTTCTAAATACAATAGCTTACAACATTTATAAATGTTGACAAATTAATCACATGATGCTGGAAAGACAATCAAGAATAAATAGATTCATTTGAATGGACTGAAGCATGTTTAAAGGCGCAAAAACAAACTATAAACACGCAGCCTAAATTATTACAGTATAAATTTAATACAATCTATAATCTTAATAGAAAGTATTTTAATCAAATGAAAACATTATCTTAAGTTTTGATCTTGCTTTATGCTCATTCAGGCTGTTTTCGCCTCTGGTGAATCAGAAATTCTGTGACAATTTTCTGAGTGTGAACTTATTGTTTTGCTATTTGAACATCAAAAAATTATTTGAAAAATAATTAATAAAACCAGCAACACTTACCAAGGAAACCATTTAGCATTCTCCACTCCAGGATAATCTTCAGCCTTCCAGCATCACAGGACCTCAGTCACAGCAGAAACACGTCTAAAGAAATCTTCCTTGGTTAAGCTTCAGTGTATGTCTCCAGATTTCCTCTGTGATGCCTAAGAATATCCAATATTTTGAGAGGGATGGTTTAGTGCAAAGTACTCACGCATCCTGTCATCAGTTTGGTACCACTTTGCAGGATCAGAAGGGTAGCTAGTTGTTAACACCCTTTCTGGGTCTAGAGGCTCCTGTAAGACTATATTGGGCTCATTTCTGGCTGGCTGCTGTTCTTCCAGTTTGTCCTTCTGTGAAGGCGTTGATGTTGAAGGCGTTGGCGCTACAGCGTCTTCTGCCGCATCTTCCACAGCGTCTTTGGGTCGTGTCTCCTCTGGGTCTGACTTGGGCCCGGCCTCTGGCTCTGCTGACTCGAGAGGGTTCACAGCTGTCGGACGGCTGCCCGAGCAGCCCGACAGAAACTTCTGAAAAGCCCCCCGCTGTCTCTTCTTTTGATCCTGTGCCACCAACGGTTATATCTCCTTAGGAAGCTCAACTCCTTTGGAGTCAGCTCCTCAGTCATGATGACTTTTTACTGTGCCTTCCTGGAAAGCATCATGACCTTCTCCATCACTTGCTGGTTCTACTCTCTTAGCCTCCAGAACAGGAACAGACTGCAGCACACTACATCAGTGTGTTCCAAAATCGTGGGCCTGCCTGTCAGAACTCTTGCTCAGGTTTTCTATCAACAAGCCCAGAGACAGGCAGCCAAAATCCTCCACAACCCCTCTCACATTCTTCACCCCGCGTTTCAATGGCTCCCCTCTGGGCGACGCCTACGCTGCATTTCCTGCAAGATTGAGAGGAGGAGAGTCACCTTTGTGCCCAAAGCCATTCTGCTCCTTAACTCCAGCAGATAAGACCATCCCCTGATAAACCCTCTCCTTGGGCTCTCCATATATTTAACTTTTATACAGACGACACTTTAGTCACTTTATTCACTTACTCAGTGATTTTTGCATATTTTACTGTTTTATCCATCTTCTTGCTGCTTTTTTACTTCCTTATTGCCTATTTATTCAATGTTCGTATGTCCAACATCATGCTGCTCTGCTGTTATTTTTATTTTTTATTTTTTAATTGCCCCTCGGGGATAAATAACGTTTTTCTGATTCTGAAAGGTGAGACCCTCTCTGACCTCCTGAAAACCCAGTTGTGCTCACCTGACATTAAAGACTTTGATCCAACCAAAGCCATTGACATCTGGCATGCTGACAGTTTGCGCAGACGCAGGCCTGAATTTGTGCGCAAAAATGCAACAAAAGAAAGTGATGCTTACTCAGATTCAGAAAAAGAAACAAGTTCAGAGAGCTCTGAGGATGAGGATGTTTGATTCAGAGGAAAGAGATACAGTGGGAAAAAAAATAAATCAATGTTGCACTTTCTATATGTTCTTGTGTGTATTGCAGTATGTGTGCGTTTTTCACAACAACAGTGTTAATAAAATGACAAAATCTTCATTCAGTGGCATTCATAATCTCTTTTTTGACTGCAGAAAAAATGGCTAGTGGAAATCCAATGTGATGATCATAAGATTAATTTTGAACCCTGGTTTTTACAATGAAAGAAAGTTTATATTTTGGATTTGTACTTCGTTCTCACTTGGTGTCGTTCTTGTTCTGACCAGCAGGTGGCGGTAACACGTTCATTGTTCTCCAAGCGCCAACCAAAACCAAGACGAAGAAGAAGTAAAGGACTGTTGGCAAAGTTAGCTTGTTGTATGAGGTGAATATTGAGTCTCTGGGTTAAACATGTATTCAGGGGAGTCTCTGATGGACTTTGTCAACAAGCAAGTAGCTACTGCTAGAAAACTCATCACGAAGGTTGAAGAAGCCTTGGCCCAGTTCGAGGAAGGGCTCGGTGATCAGCGCAGACTGTCGGATATGAGCTGGGAACCACGGAGCAGCTCACACGGAGCAGGTATGAAACACCAGCGGGACTCGTGCAGAGACGGACTGGGACAATAATTTTGCCCGGGGCCCTGTCCTGTTATTATTATTTAAGGTGTGTAGAAAGCTGCTTTCTTGTGTAGATCATCTCCAGCAAGCGGACCTCGGTTTTCTGACTGCCTTTTAGCCAGCCGTCTTTCGATTTTTACGGGCGCAACTACAAGAGAAATTACGGTGTCCTCGTTATAGAGTGCCTTTCAAAATAAAAGCGCTCAAAACACATTTCAAAGTTTGTGTAAAATTGTGTCTACGATAAAACTGCGTTTTATGATTTTATCTATTTAAAAATACTTTTAATCAAAATAATGAACACGATATAAACGTGTTTGTGTAAAATTGTGTGCAAGATAAAACCGTGTTTTTTATGATTTTATCCATTTAAAAATACTTTAAATTAAAAGAATAAACACATTTGTCTACTTTGCAATTCTTATCCCTCCCCTCCCTTTCATCCTGATCTGATGTGGGATTTCAAAAGAAAGTGAAAATTATTGACAATTATCACTAAATTTAATGGTTTCTTTCTCAAAAACTGTCTGATTTCACAACATCATTCCACATCAGTCTTAAAGTACACACCGACTGCTGAATCCTCCCCAACTTTCATAAGGATCTGATGTGGCATTTCAAAATAAAGTGCAATCAAATATGACTTTAGAGACAATTTTCACTATATTCAATGGTTAATTTCTCAAAAACTGTCAGATTCCACAACATCATTCCTAGTGTTGTGTTGTTTATCAGTCTTAGAGTACACATCGAGGACTACATCCTCTGCAAATTTTATTAAGACCTGATGATACATCAGAAATTTTGTGAGGATGTAGTCGTCTATGTGTACTTTAAGGCAGATGTGGAATGATGTTGCAGAATGAAACAGTTTTTGAGAAATTACCATGGAATTAGTAAAAATAGTCATTAATGACCTTTGATTGCACTTTATTTTGTAATGCCACATCAATCAATCAAAGCTTTATTTATAAAGCGCCTGTCGGGAAGCCCAAGGCGCTGAACATGGTACATGAGAAATGTGAAACATGATGAATAAATTGAAAATAAAAGCACAGGGTTTCCCTTACATAGGCGTAGCCGTGGCGGGCCACCACGGCTGAAATCCCACCGCCACGCCTACAAGATCCCAAGTTTTATTTATTTATTTATTTTGCGCTGTTTCCCAAAGAAGCAGCGGGAACTACTATGTTGTCGCTTGTGATCACAGCTGGCGGGCAGCAAGGAGGAGCAGGCAGGGCAAGGTGAAGTTACAGCATAAGTTACTGAGTTTAAAATTAGAAAGGTAGCAGTGGATATAATGCTTTGTGGTTTACATGTTTCAATAGCATTAAGATAAACGAGTGTTGACGATCTTGACAGGGTTTCCTCCAGTGCTTATTAGGCCAGGTTCTCCTCCCCCCACCAGGCTAAGCATCACTTATTCGTGTAAAATTTATTTATTTTTTCATGTCTGACTTTAACCGCATCTAATACTGTATTACGGCGTGAGCGCAACGGCGACAACTTAAGATCGATGTGTGAGCAGCGTGAGAGGTCGGGTGTTTTCATCTGAACCCTTAAAACCTCCAGCAGCTACGCTGCACTATTGACGTGTTAGCGCGCGGCGCTAACAACTTAGCGACGTGACATGTCTCGGAGAAAGCGTAAAAACACGTTGGACGCTTCTTCTAAAGAGGGAAAATAACACTTCTTCTTAAGCAGAGCACGACGCCGCCTCGGCCCGTTCACGGCCGAGCCGGACTGAGCTCGATAACATTGACCCAGCACAGCCACTGGGTCGTTGGAGCTGCCCCGTGACTGCCTGATGGAAAACCAGCGGGTTTCATCAGACTCGTAAAGTTTCTTGTTTTTGGTGGGGACCCCTGTATTTTACTGCTCCCTCCTGCAGTCTTCCCCTATTAACATTTAAAATGATTCTGTAAATTGGTGTATCAATAGAAAACACCTCTGCCTCTGCCAGCTGCAGTAAATGTAGTCTTTTTGAAGCGACTCATGCTTTGTTTTTATTAAACGCTACATAAAAATCCTTTCTTGTCATTTGTGTGCTTCTGTGAAGTCTTTGGATGGACAAGTTCAGTTAACCAGATTCAAGACAGGAGAGAGACAAGTAGAGCCACTGGGCCAGCCTGAAAGACTGACAACCCCCAACACCCAAGCACATTCCATTGGACCTCATCTGTGGCTGGCTGCATTTACAAATGAAAGGCAGCTAACGATCAGTGATTTAGTCATTGTTATCAAACCAAGCAGTTATTTGACAAAGCTCTGGTAGAGCTGGGGGAATCAGAAAATGCTGGGAGTTCTAGTGTTAACACAGAATGTTCTGTTGTGGAGATATGATCTAAACCACTCCAGAACAGACCCTTTGATCCCAACCCATCGTTCCAAGCGACCAAGTAGAATCGCCTGGTCAACTGTGTCAAACGCTGCCGTCAGATCTAACAACAGAACCACCACAGATGTACCCTGATCTAGTGATAGATATCATTTAAGACCCTCAGTAGAGCCGACTCAGTACTATGGCCAGACCTGAACCCTGATTGGGAAATCTCAAACAGATCAGAGTCTGCTAAATGTGAAACCAGCTGCTGATAAATGACTTTCTCAAGCAGTTTCAATGTAAAAGGCAGGGTAGAGATAGGCCTGTAATTTTCGATCACAGAGACATCAGCACCAGGTTTCTTCAGGGTCGGCCGAACAACTGCTGCTTTGAAAGCAGCTGGGACCACACCTGTGCTGAGGCTCCCATTAGTAATCTGACCAAGTGATGGGCCAAGACACGGAAAGGCAGCCTTCCAGAGACGAGGCGGCAGGACCTCAAGTGGAGAGCCAGATGGCTTCTGCCTTGCAACAAGCTTACTCAGCTCAGAATAAGAAACGGTCTTGAGGGATCTCAGGTGGGTGGTGATGGAGGAACTGGAACAGGGTCAATAGAGTTACCAGAAATAGCTGCTCTAATGCCTGATACTTTATGAACAAAGAATTTGTGAAAATCTTCAGAGTTTCCAGCAACTGTAGTGGACAGGAAGCTGGGCTCCTGATACACCAGAACAGAGTTCAGTGTTTTGTAGAGAATCTTGGGATTCTTAAGAGTTTGTTTTGATGATGTCTGCAAAATAGGCAGTTCTAGCAACCCTCACTGCATCCATATAAGCAACCAGGTCCAGGGTGTGACCCCTGGCATGAGTTGGGGACGATAACCATTGAGTTAAATTGAATGAATCTAGCAAATTCAAAAAACCTTTAGCAAGCACATTGTCAGGACAGCAGATGTTAAAATCACCAAAAACAGGACATAGTCATATTTTAGGATGCAGTCTGCCACAAGATCATATAAATCATTTAGGAAGTTAGAGTCAGTCTTTGGAGGGCGATCAATCAGCACGGAGAGCAGGCGGGGGGAGATGCACAGTTCAAATAGACACAGTTCAAAGGAAGAAAATGACATGGCGGGTGTAAGCAGTTTACAAGGAAAGCTGGATTTTAAAACAACAACCAGCTCACCACCTCTGCCCCGCGATCTAGGGATATTAAAACAGGAGCAGCCAGGTGGTACCAGCTCCAGCAGGGCGCTTGAGTCACCAAACGGGATCCAGGACTCACAGATGCACAGAAAACTCAAATCATGTTTAATAAAAAAAATCCTGAAGAACAAAAGTTTTGTTCAGCACAGACCTGGTATTGACCAGACCAAACCAGGTCTGCGGCGGGGCCGCAGCACCGGGATCGCGCACGGGCACCGTCTCCTCCAACTCTGAGCCCGTAACCAAGCGTAGATTCTCCCAGCAAACCCCACTCTGGCGAGGTCCTCGAGCCGATTGGCCATGGCACGGTGCCAGCTCACCCTCATAGCCAGCCAAGTTCACAAGGCAGGGCGCAGAGTAAACCATCAGACGTCTCGCAACCACCGGGTCACAAGCTGGGCCGAATCGGACCAGCCGCTTCTTCAGGGATCCAGGAAGTCCAGCCCGACGTCTCACGCGCCGGCTACTTTGCTGTCCCCGTCTTCTACGATGCTTCCTTCTCAAGCTGGGGCAGACAGAGGGCCAACACATCACGGCTTGGGGGGAGAGAGCACAGGGGCAGTCCAAACAACAATGCTATCCGTGAGGTTCCCTCACGCAGCGACCGCTACATCAACAGGAGTACGAAGCCTCAGCAGCGCAGCTTGATCAAAAGTCACCAGAGAAGCCACACCATTCAAAAAAAGAATCAGACAACAAAAAAACATAAAAACCAATAAAACGCAAGTTTCCATTGCGTAAAGAGGACGAGCAGCTCGCTGCGTGCACCCGCGCGAGCGCCATCTGAACTCAACATCAGATCTTTATGAAATTTGGGAAGGATGTATTACTCGATGTGTACTCTAAGACTGAAGTGGATTGATGTTACGGAATTGGACAGTTTTTGAGAAATTAACCATTAAATATAGTGAGATTTGTTTTATAGCCAACTTTGATTGCACCTTTTTTTAAATGCCACATCAGATCCTTATGAAAGTTTGTGAGGATGTACTAGTCGATGTGTACAATAAGTATTTTTTTTAAATCACGGGTGGGGAACCGTGGTCCATCGAGGGCCACTATCCAGGATATTTTAGTTTCAACCCTTCTTCAACAAACCTGATTTCAATCAGCAGGTGATTAACAGGCTTCTACAGAGCCTGATGAGCTGCTGAACAGGTGAATCAGCACCTGAATCAGAAGTGTTGGAGCCAAGACATGCAGGATGCCGGCCCTCGAGGACCAGGGTTCCCCATGCCTGGTTTAAATAGACAGAATCATTACACACCATTGTACACACATTCACACACACACACACACACGCATACACACACACACATACACACACACACACACACACACACAAAATAGCATACCGTTCCTCTTTTTTTGTAGAGCGCTTTTAACACAGCAATACAACCGACCACAGCGCTGCACATAAAAACAAATAAATAAA